AAAGGCCACTGGTTTAATTCGATACGCCCTTGACCCAAAATTAAAAAGATTGAAATTGAGAACAGGACTAAGCTACCCATTGACAAGATATTTTAAGACTGGCAACTCCTCAATTCGCCAAACTTGCCAGAGAGAAAAGTTGGCACTAAATTATCTTTTTCTTGTAAGAGTTAGTTGGAACGCATGACAACAAGTCATTGCCCCCTAAAGCCAATAGTCAGCGACCCGTTCTAGTCTATGACTCCCTTAGAAATGCTGGCAATCATATCTGCAGCGTAAAAAAAGAAATCAATACCATATACTGCCCAAGAATTTGAAAGACGGACCTCCTGAAGTATGCGCACCAAGATGGCGCACAACCTGAACTCAGGTTGTGTACCAGGTTAGGGTTCAGGTTACGCTTATAGGTGGAAAATGTAATTCACATATTCCAAATCAACACAAAGAGGCAATTCAGCCGCTGCTTACAATAATTTTCAAAACTCGGCATGAACATGTATTTATCACATTTTTAATAAAAATGAACAGCGAAAATGAAGCAAACAACAACAGCACAGTTGCAAGGGATGTTTCTCGAGTCAGTCCTTCTGCACTGAATTGCATTCATTCTAACACTAATTACTAGGAGTGTTTTTTAATAATGCAACAGCTTGGCAGTAAAGAAAGCCCGGAGTCAACTGCGTTCCTGGTTCTTTTTTTACCCTCCAGCTTCTTCGTGAGGAAAGGTCATCATACTCAACATTCACAAGCATCCCATTCATATTGGCGCTGGAGTGGGGACTCCCAAAAGTGAAGGATCTTCCTTCGGGAGAGCTTTCTTCTCTGCCGCTACAGACTCGAGATCAGATATTTTCTTGTTAACTTTCGAAAGCAGATCTGCAACAACTTCAGAATGCTGCGAAAATATATAAAAAAAGGTGTTATGGCAGAACTAACAAAATCAGATGTAATGAAGAATGACTAATTTATATATTTCCAGTCTTCTATATTCTCGAAACACAAGCAATGCAAAACTACAGTAGTGAATTGTTCGTAGCCAAACATGATGAACTAGGAACAAATAATGAAATTCAAGAATCCATCACTGAATTCTGAATTAGCTTGATCAGCGTTACTAAGAAATGTAAAGAAACATACCGTAGTCTAGAATCATGGCCATGTATCTGACTCATCGTGAATCAATTGGACACCCTACTTATTTAAGTTAGGGGACTTTACTAACATGAAAGTTTGAATTTATGACTCCCTTCTATATCCTGCTCCACAGCCACCTTTCTTATATTTTTAGACCCGAAGTGGACCTATGGACCGTTTTGGTATGTTGTTGTTTTTCTTTTTCTTGTTAGTTGTCACCATATAAAAAATCGTTTTCCTTTTTCACTACTGGACACATTGCTTTGAAATTGTCAGTGATTGGAGATTGTTGTTATTGCTGGGAGGCCATCTTGTTTATTCCTAAATTTCCTATGAGCTATGACATCTGATATTTCATTCAAAATTCTGCTGGATTATTTTTTATTCGTTTAATTTGTATTCAAACAAAAAGAGAGCATACCTTTTTTCCTTTTGATTCTAACTTTGCAATCAGTGGTTTTGATCGAGATGCTGGAATTCTGTGATAAGTTGACAGGAGCAAACGAAGGGTTTGTTTCTGTGACACTTCCCTGGAGAAGGAAATAATTCAATTCAAAATTTTCCAGTGACTGATTTTTTGCCTTAATGCCCCCTAAAACAGTCGTCGCGATTACGTGCTCGTTAATAGAACAGACTTTACAACGTATAATGACTTTTTGTCACATATTATATTCAATCCTTAACAACTATGACCACTAATATCTAAAAATATGCCAGAAGCTATTTTTTTGAGAGGACCAAAATCTTTCCGATTTGACAATGCAATATCCACACAATTTATTACACCATGGGTGAGGTGATGGAAATGGGATGGATTTTAACTGGTTACCCTGCATTTCCAAATACAAGCAAGCACAGTAAAGTCCAACATTTTAACTGATAGGGCTAGGCCATCGCATCCATAAGAACCGAGGCAAGGGCAAATTTGTGAAATAAATATTATAACTACGTAAAACAAATGAATACTTGTGTTGTCGACCAGGCAACATAAACTTGAACAAAGTTTGGCAAAAGTCTTCATCACTGAGAATGTCTTCTAATGCAACAGGTCCTGGCGCAACTGATAACTGGGCAACTAATGCATGAAGAAAGATTGGGTCTGTGCTGCTTTCTTTATGGTGTTTGCCTTATAAATAGAATTCAGGATGAGTTTATCATCAGGTAAAATACCCGCGGGATAAACTTAAATTGACTCACCTAAAATGGATAGAATTTTTAATAGCAGTGTTTTCCTTCTATATTTCACTAAGTACAGTATATACCACATGCAGATCTGGCAAGAAAGAGGCTCCTGTTGCAGAAATCTTAAAAAAAATGGTGATAAAAAATTAAAAAGCGCCTACATATATTCAATTCATACTGTTTGTTCACTATTCATCTCAGACTTTCCAGTCAAGAAAACACATTGAATCTATTTAATTGTAATAAAATGACCCACATCCTTTCACGAAAAATCCATGCTAAACTTCTAAAATTCATATAAACATGGGTTTGTCAATTTACATTTTTCTAATGCAGAAGATAGGACGCTATTGTGTACAGAACAGTGTGTACACAGTTTATTGTGCAAGTCCTATCTCCTGTTTACTTAAGGACCACAAGGATGCTTGAATGAGATAGTATTATAAAGATAATTAGGAATAGCATGATCTCTTTCCAACGAATATTCGCTGTTATTAAAAAGTAACGGCATATCTTGTTTTGTCTGAAGGAGTTAGACTACTATCTAACGAAAACTTACAAATATGCTTGCTTTTTGTGAAGAGATTATGCTATTCCTAATCAATTTTATAACACTTCAACAAAATAATAAAATCTATCTTTTCAAGCCTATAATTTTTTTCAATATTTAATTTCCGATACTACTTCAATTGAACCAGAGCCATAGTAATTTTAAACTAGCTTTCCAGTCCTGTATATGATACATATTAGATGGCCTGCATATAAGTAAATTACTCCACATACGTGATTAGAACTTGCACAGATGTAGAATCATCGAAATTCTTTTTATCTTCAGTTTCCGATGTGCTTGAGTCTTGTTGTTGTTCATTGTGTTGCATTCCAGATTTTTTGAAGTCGTCAGTCTTTTTCACAATATTAGAGATCGTGTTGCAAACACCAATAGAGAGTAATGCAGGCATGAAACGTGTTACAACATCCAAGTCAATTCTCGGTTCTTTGAACACCTGGTAGGAAGAGCATCCTCGTATTTTTATTCATTTTTCTATACTTTAAAACACCTTATATGTTCACCCAAAGTAGCTCAAAGCACATCAAAGTTCTCACACCAAATTTACTACAGAACTTTATGAAAAACCAACAAATACTTCCATATTAATTCATCAGAGGAAAAAATTGCGGGATTTTACCTGTTTATTGATTATTTCCCAGGCAGATTGTCCAAGAGCGAGCATCCGTATCAACAAAACTAACTCTGCGCTGTCCTGGGTAAAATATAAAAATAACAATTAGAGAAAAAAAGCTATGTATTTGTACAGTGAATAACACAAGATAGCAATGCTCAAATATATGGATGGTACTAGTAAGGCATGATGAAAGAACAGCGTATGCTGAGAAGATCGGCTGAAAGCAACACGGAGGCTGAGTAATGTGGGATAAAGTTTTTCCCCATTAAATAAAATAGGACTGTAAATTTTTTCTGATCAGGTTGCATGGAACATTTAAAATAGCCTACTTCCATATTCAAATATTGTAAATTTGAAACTGATTGGTCGATAAGCCGCAGAGAAAAGGGAATTCCTCATCAAAAATGATGATGAATATATTCAACCACAAAATATTTTGTTTGAAAAAATGACATATGTAAATAATTCTTACCCGAGGTAATGTTTCATGAGTTGTTAGATCTTGCAACACCTTCATAATACTCCATAACATCGTATTCACAGCAAATGGATCAAACAATATCATAGATAGATCGCTGAGAACAATTTGGAGAGGTGAAAATTTGCATGAACCATAGTATTAATTCATGCTCGAAAGCGATGTCATATTGGAAGATCCATCAAAGTTGTCAGTGGGACTTTTGGTACTCCCGAAGTGTGTGTACCAGGTTAGGGTTAGGTCATAATTTTATTTCAATTTTCCTTATTTTAGTTCCATTGCGAGTTCAAGGACTGTCTGTGTTAGTCAAGTGAATATATACCCCCTGGCCATAGGCTTCCACCCCTTCACACAACTTGATGTGAAGTAGGCGAACAAAATTAGTTACCTCCATATTGGTACACATACTTCTGGATCACCAGACTTTTAGTTGGAGTTGGTTTCGGTCAGAGCTCAGCATGTTATTATTGATATTCGAGTCAGAGCCGTTGTAAGAATGAAAAACTCAATAAAGATTAAGTTGACTAATTGTTATCAACAGACAAATAAAAAAGGCAGGTTATAAAAATTCGGTTTTCGGAGTTGGAGTATGAATCAAAAATTGGAGTCATGACCCGAGTCATTATTTAACGTTTTCTGAATCATTTTTAATTTTAGTGCTGGCGAAAATTTTCAAGAATACAAATATTGTATATTTGGCCAATTCAAGGTAGGCATCAGTACAATATATCGTTGAAATTTAAGTATATTTAAATTATTTTTAACAACACAAAAATACACTTAGATTTAGTCAAACAAAAACTAAAAAAAATTACCCCAAGACCTGCTCATGTCCCCTGCGCACACTGTCCAAAAAACCTTGTAGTTCTCTCGCTCTTTTGACATCAACATATTTTTCTCGAATGCATGCATCAAGACACCAAGTAAATTTATAACATGGATCAACAGAACATATATCTGAAATCTGAATGCAATAGAACAAATTGAGAGCCATGGAACTTATTGACTCATTTTTAAAGAAATCGAAAAACATATGATAAATGAGTATTTAGTACAATGAGTTTTGTTCATAGAAACCAGGAATGTGGAGTTAATAATGTCTTTACTGAAGTAGAAGACAAGAGTCCATAAGTTGATTATCACACTGCCCGAAGTAGAAATAACCCAAAGTCAGAAATTGGAATTTCTGACTTCATTGGCGATGAGAATTTTCTGCAGAAACTCAAGCATTTTGCAACAAACAAAATTTTGAAGTCAAAATTTTTTTTGAAATCAGAGTCAGAAATCAAGTGAAAGTTTTTCTCAGACACACAGGCAAACATGATGTCATCAACATAAGCATGAAAAAACGGACCTCCTGAAGTATGCGCACCAAGATGGCGCACAACCTGAACTCAGGTTGTTAAACCAGGTTAGGGTTCAGGTTATGTGACATCTTGGTGCGCATACTTCACGAGCACCTAGAAAACAATTTCTTCAATTGAAACTAAAGATTGTAACCACCGTTATTTAATTTCATTTAACAGAACTCGAATCATTAACAATGAATGAAATGATACCTCAAGATCATGGAGAGCCATCAGAATCTCTGCTCTCAATGAGCAGTAATGAACATTTTTCGTCTTCATAAACAAAGTTCTCAGAAACTGAAGTACCATATCATAGAGTCTGACATTTTTCCCTGCAAAATAAATCTTCTAGCTCAGTGCTCCTCAACCTATGGTACGTGGGAGCTTTTCAAGTGGTACGCAAGCAGCTTTGATTTATTAAAACAATTAAATTTTGAGTTGGCTAAAATATGCCGGCAACGCTTCATACTGTATGTTTCGCTGAACGGCGCTTATAGCGCAACCAAGCCTTATCTTTAGAGATCGCCCATTTTGTGTGTTACCTCAAAATAAAATAATATAAAATTATCCCATACACATTACAAAATACTCCCATAGCGTGTCAATTGTGCCATTGTTCTCCGACGCAAAATAGGACGTTGTTGGTGGTACGCGACCAGAGTGAAAAGATGCAGTCAGTAAAAAGATTGAGAGCCAGTGCTCTAGATGCATGATTTAGTGATGCTTTTGCTGATGTACAAATCACTGTTGGGCCTTACCAATCATATTAGCCAATTGTTTGACGACAGTTCCCTGTCGTCTCTGTTTCGGTAAAGATGAAAAAAAATTGTTCATGCCACCCTCCGTAGAAAATATGATTGTATCTTTATCCTGTTGAAAAAAAAAAAATATATTGTAAAATTTTTCGATTCATCGTGAAATTTCCTCTATTCACTTTAATGCAGCTCATATAGAGAACTGATAAAAAATATATTGACACAGGGGTCAATGTTTGGGCAGATGTTAAAAGAATTTGGAAAATATAATATGAACTGTTAAAAAACATACAAAATGACAAGTGGGCACTCAAATTAGAAACAATAGTGAAATTATCAGGCTCCGCAGATAAAATTTGAACAACAACAACATTCACAAGCAAATACTGAAAATTTGAAATTAACTAGTTACGAAGAAAAAATATCCAAACTTCGAAAACTTCAATATTATAGCAAAACAATCTATTGCTTAACTTTGTGTCGAAAAATGATTATTCAAACTAATACCTTAATATACTGATTTAAAAGCGGCAATACTTCATCTCCAAACATAGCTTGATTATTTTGCCAAATTTGTCTTTTAACTTCAATTGGACTTGATTTATACAACTCCTTGTCCTTTATCAAAGCTTTCAAATATTTTTCTGGTACCTGGAATAAAGCAATTGCATTAATAGGGAAAATTTTTCTATTCAAAGCTTATTCACAACTTTCACTTCGAGGCCCTGCAAAAGAAACCATTGATATGTAGGGAGTTACTATTTTTGAAAGTACCGTAATCTGTCTGGTACGGCATTGCCTATACTAATTTGATACATCCTGTGTGGGGTGGCGGGCATGGGATTTGAACCAGAGATATGTGACCTGCAATGCCAATACAGTTAAGTCTAACGTTTTGACTGCAAGGCCATAATCTTTGAAGGGAATAAATTTGATATTACCATGAATATGAAACAACAATGTGATATTATTAAATCAAAATGAAGTATGAAAGCCATGGACATGTTTAAATATTGCATACTAAATGAGACTACACTATAGTACTAACCTCCGGTAAATGCTTAAACAAGCACATCGTCACTGGCTGGAGAGACTTGATTTTAATAAGAGGAAAGCTTTTATCTAGTATTGCCTCTAATTTTTCATGAGAATCTTCATCTCCTGATTTAGAAATTTCCTCAATTCTCGATTGCAACTTTTCTCGAAGTTCTTCAAATACTGATTTATGGAAATCAAGTCGTTTCAGACCATGAAGATCTAAGAAGCACAATTAACATATGTAGTAGCAAGTTAAATAAAAACAAAAGAAAATTTAGAAAGAATAAAGAATATACCAGTCAATTTATATAGGTGCATATGATTGATTAAAATAGCGTGTTCTTAGCTGCCTATGTGTTAGTGAATCTGCACTGACTGCAGGTATTTTGTCGCCCAATACCAAAATATTGAATGGTTGATATTTGTCAGACGAAACAGTACCCAATGAAATTTGTGAAAGTGTGATGCAAAACCTGACCTATGTTTGGATCACTCAAATTATATACTAACATAATTTTATCAGCCTTGGCATCAAATTCTATCAGACGTGCATCACATTACATCATGAATTGACTTTAAAAAAAACTTTACAGTAAAAATATTAATTTCTGTATTATTGAAAAAGACTTTTGCAAAAATCAAAAAAATTCATACTTGAACTAAAAACTTTTTCACCCCCAATAATAAGTAAATCCATTATATATCAAGAGTGTTTAACCTTATATATTTTTATATACTTTTACCTAATAAAGGCAAAGCTGGCTGAAGTGAAGGCAACAAAATGCTGTTCTCTTGCTGAAATTCCTCTATAGCACCCAGAGGATCAGTTGTATTGGTCAATGCTTCTTGTAAAAAAGAATGACCAGCTATACCCATGTCTTCAAGGCTTTGTGCCATAATGTTCCTATCTAGAATATTATCATTAAATTCACAACAAAATTATCAATCTAAAAAGTAATGACTTTTATTCACCACCATACGAGAACAGCAATCATAATAGTTCATCAACATATATTATCCAAATAGCAGCAAGTTACAAGTCAACTGTCTTATAATAGCTTTTAATTATTGCTTATATATAGCGTAATCCATAATACACAAATTCATAATTTGCTTCAGCATCACCTAATGCTAGGTAAGAAAAATCTTATTAAATAACCCGAATTCGAGGAAAAATTGTGTTTCAAAAAAAGGGAATTTAATTAATGCAAAAGTTGGTAATACAATCTAGGGGAAACACAATCTTAACTAAATTATGATTGAATGTAGATTATTTATTTTTATCATTACCAAAGAACTGTTAGGTATAGATCTTCGCAACAATTTAAACTTTAAGCATAAACAAAATGATTTATACATCAGTCCAGATGTATGCATGCTTTTTTGTCAGACTATAAACTTAAATTATCAATATAAAATCACAAAATGACGTTCATAACAAAATATTTCAAAATCCAGGTTTCCTGATTATCCACCAACAGAAAACTGGAGAGTATGTATATCAGGAAAGATTGCTGCGGCATTTAAAAAGCTCCAAAAAGTTGTATTATTCTATACATAAACAGTTAAAAACTTTGATTGACAATGTAATTTATTTCAAAGGTATTACAGATATTAGAACTTGCTATTCTGATAGTATATGTTCATGGGAAAAAAGCATCATCACTTTTGTCCAGCCATCTGGCAGAATCTGTTGTACCCCAACCAGAAAATCAAACTTGCAGGCAAACTAATAAAAGGTTAAAATATCAACAAGTTGATGCCATAACATTTTGGACTTTCTCAAATCCAACTTTTTCCACAATATTTTTAGTTTTAACTTTCTCTTCATGATTTGCCACAGAAATTAAACCGCCTTCTTTTTGTTTCCAACCACATCTTTCAATCCATACTTCCAATTCCTGCTCATTCAAGTCTCCGAGAATCGCACGAAGGTCTTCAATATCAATATTCTGATGAGACACAGACACAACATGACAAATAAACTTTCTGACTGCTTCTTCCAACCCTGCTACTCCACTGATTAGATCCGGTGTTGCATTGACCTCCTGCCAAAAATGAGTGAACTTGCAAGTTTCTATCAAATGATGTAAAAGAAGCAGGCGACCAATGCTTGGGTCCTCTTGCTGATTCTGGTCGATTAGACTGGTGCAGAGAGAAAAGTCTGGACTTGGAATAGTGGATAGAGCTTTCAGTAAGATTTGACAAACACTCTGTGTTTGAAAGTAAGCTGGATTGAACTGATAAAGTTTCAAAACAGCTAGATTTGCGGGCAAGTCATAAGAACCGGAATGAACTTGCCAGTCCACATGCTTTTCAAGAACTGCTAAATTTTCCGGATTATATCGGTTTATTCCTTGCAACATTCTAGATATTGTTTCTGGTGATATTGGAGCATCCATTTTTTTGTTAGTAAAAAAACAACTAGAAAAACAAAATATGTAGCAAGTTAACAAATGTCAGAATGTTACTGGACAGCTTTATTATAATACTGTAATAATAAAACAGCCAATCGAATAAGGCTAGAATGATTACATCAAGAGCCATATTGTTCAAATGGATTTAGTGATCTGGGATAGTTTCACATTTTCTTTCTGCAGTTCCGAAATAAGCTCAATACTACACTAACTACAGTACTAGCAGTTTTCCAGATACTGCATAACCAATCTTTTACACCCTGAGGTGGTATCAGTATCAGTCAGTCAGTGGTATTGAGAATTTATTATCTGACAATCAGACAAATGGAATTTGACTTTTCACATTTTAGGATAGGATTTACATGTTCATTCCGGGGGAGAGGAAAGCTGATAAGACGGCTTAATCATATGGCGAACCACAGCCTCTCGTCCGGCTTACCAGTCCAGGTCGGGTATGGGATTGGTTAGTTACGGTATTTGTTTTCGGAAGCATGGACTTGATGGTGGAAGAAGCCGTAACCGACCAGCAGTTACCTGAACCACCCTACGGGCTACGGCGGCGAGGAGTCCAGCAATCCTCTCGCACATGATCATCCCCGCATGAGATTCGAACCTGCGATCCCACGAAGAGTAATCAGAGATGCGGTGGCGAGCGTATTCCTAACGCTTAGCACGATGCGCCACACCACCGAGCCAAGCACTTAACACTGAAACAAGATTTTAATATAGGCTAATTATGAAAAAATGAGCTTTATTCGGTGTATAATACTGTAAAAGATTGATTGGGCATTCCATTTATGCATTCGTAAATATCGCACTGCTATACAAGACCGTTTTCAGGTTTTGTAAATTCTATTATACTGTTATACGGTACCAAATTCTATGCATTTACACAGCTAACTTAGTTCTGCAGTTATTATAATTTTGAAATTCCTAAACACCGATAACTGCAACTCAGGGTAGCCTACATTATTTCCTGAATTCTGTATTTTTTTTGTAAAGTTTGTACTGACATATTGCTGGACGAAGTACGAGTCGGTAACTTGGTGACTGTAACATACCGTACGGCAGTACGGTACCGTAAGTCTGTACACTGTAAGTGAAACTTGAATATTAATAAATACCGTAACTTCACGCGAGAGAGAGAGAATTTATTATTTCGTCACGCGGTGATATAACTTTAACATTCAAAAATATCGCTATCACTTTTACATTATACATTTATATTACCGGTGCCCCTGTGCTGACTGCAACTCTGATGTTCGTAAATATCGCTTATCCATTATGGTTATACAATATATTAGTATTAGACATTACTGCATTACACGAACGTCAGGACGTTGTCGAAGGAGACTTTTAGACAAGCAGCGTGTGCTTGCTGACCCCTGACCCTGTATATCAAGTGCCGACTGCCGAGATGCGCGGTTTAGGTGACGTCTCTCACTCGGCGACAATCGAGCACCGAGGTATCACTGTAATTATCTCCCACGTAGCGTTGCCAACCGTCCTTTATTTCAAAGGACAATCCTTTAATCAAGCTTTTCTGTCCTTTTTAGCATTCAGAAGAAAAAGTGCTAATTGTCCTTTATTCTTTCCAACGTCGTTTTGCCCGATAGTTATAGACTTATAGTACTGTGTTTGATCAATATATTGTTCCGTACTTCCGTTGTTAAAAAACGCCTCCGTCCATGTATCTGCAAGCTTTTAAATATTTCTTTTAATTTCGCTTTGGTCCGGCTCAAATAGCCAAAAAAATAACAATTTTCTTACATTGTTTGTCAGTTTGAGTCAATGTCAAATAAACATTAATGAAAACACATGAAGATTGTTTTAATATATCTTTTTAGCATGTCTATATATAATTTTTTTATTTCATTGTTTTATATCAGGGATGGCGAACCTTTTTCAATGAATGGGTAAAAATTATATTTTTCATCGCGGGCAGAAGAGAGTGGGTCACAGATATTTAATCAAAGTTTGTATCTATAAGAAACTTCTGAAACAAATCTATAAGCTTGTGTTGGTGTAGTTGGGCTTCACTTATGCAGCACTTCTAGCAGGGACTTTTTATGGCACTCGATTTTATGAAATTAAAGTACGAAAAAACGCATATAAATTACCAAAAACGTTTAGGATGATAAAGAAAATTATTTTACGGTTCCAAAGATTTTGGAGGGAATTCCACTGTGATAGTGTTATATTTTTCGATCAGCTTTCAACCACATTAAAGCACTTTTATACTTCTCCATTGTTATTTCAGATTTCTAGGTTTTTATTTCGAGTCTGAATAATTTTTTTTTCAACGGTATTGTAGGCGAGAAACTAATAAAATGCAACTTAGTAGCATTTAGTTCTCGTACCCCTAACCCCTAAAACAGTCTGCAGATACGCTTCCGAAAGAGACAAAATGTTGCGAGAAATGAAAAGATCAATTGCATTTTATGACATAAACGATATCAGAGCCAATAGTTGAAAACGGTGGTGCAGACATGCGTCAAAGATTAGGGGTTTCGAAAATGACCATACCGACCCAGAAATTAATAATTTGAATATGAGCGATCGCAGCCCTGACTGCCCACCTGACGGTACATTATAATAGTTTAGTTATTGTTAAATTAATTTAGAGTCGGTTTTATCAATTTTGAGTACCGGTACTGATATGATAGCATTTTTTTATTTTATTTTTGCGTTGGCGGTTTACGAATAAAACTCGGTGGGTCACTTTGTGACCCGCGGGTCGGTGGTTCGCCATCCCTGTTTTATATTGTTCTTTCAAGTTACAAAATAAATGATGACGGTCATCTATGTCCTTTATTGAAACTTTTTATAGTTGGCAACCCTACTCCCACGAAACCCGTGCAGAGGTGCAATGACAAACGTACTTCTAACGAACGAACGATTAGCGTGATAATTGATGGTTCCCAAACCTGGCGCTTACAAACTGGTGCACATGTCCATGTAACAATGGTTTAAAATAAATTAACCACCCGTCGTTTGAAAACACCGATAGCGTAACTATTTTTAGTCTAGTCTGTCACAGTTTATTCGAAACTAAATTTTGATTACTGCAAATAAACTAAAACTCATTGAGTTAAAACACAACTATAACCTGTCACATAACTTGCAAAATCACGAACGCGAGTCAGTGGGTATTTCTAAAACACGACATAACAATTTTTGGCTATGTTATTCTTAACTCTCATCCAACAATTGCTTAATTATTTTAACTCAACAGACATGTATCTGTGCAAGATTTAACTGAACTAAAGATGCAAAGAGCTACAATACGAGAATTATTATTTTCGGTGCTGGAATAAATAATCATGAATTCAGCTATACTACGCGTTATTCATACAAAGCACTGTGATGTTAATTTGATTCGTGTATAATCATTGTTGCTCAATCATCGTTGATCAATCATTCCGAAATTTAATATTTTCGGTAAGCAAGGATAATTTAGTAGACTGAAAAATGATATTTTACACATATAACTCCACCAAAAAGGCACTGATCACGAAAACAATTATAAATGTAATATGACAAAGGAAAGGAGGAAATATTTAAATTTTAAAGTGATAGCATACATTAAGTACGATAAAAGCGCGGTGACACGTCATACAAGGAATAACTTGGTGATTGTAATGTTTAGCGGTGTAGCGCACTAACATAACCGGTGTCATTTCTCCGAATCATTTCTGCAATGGGCCGAGCAGCGCACAATATGATTAAATCAGACTCGAATTTGAGGACGAAAATAATTATCAATACACCAATCAATAAGACATTGAAATATGAATATTTTGAATATATTTATCCCTTAGTAAATACGATTAGTGGATACTGATGAGTTACAACAAATTCCACTTCGTGGTCCGGTATTTCTTCGAGTTGTAGAAGTTTTTTCACTTCCATCGCCATTACATCAGTAGGGTCCTAGTCGTCAGTAGAATGTCCTGAGTTTCTCATTTCGTAGGATTGATATCCGCCTATCCGGAGTAGCTTTTAAACAACAATTTGAACTCCTTCAAGTTTTATATCAAGTTCAAGATTTTCTATTCTTTCTTCCGTTTCTGTTTGGATTTGATCATATATATATATTTTTATAGTGACCCAATGTTGCAAAACCCCGTTGGTGTGCTCCAACATGTAAAAGAAATTTGGATTAGATATCCTTAATATCTATCTTTACGTTAGAGTTCACTGACTTCACAAAGTTTGGAGACTGAGCATATATGGCACAGCATCCACCAGGCATCATTTCCCCTTCAAATAAATCTAAGTAATGTACTTTGATGTCCTACCATTGTTGGAAAATAAATCAAACAACCAGCAAAAACGTTACTCAAGTCTCGATTGTTTTTCCGCCGTATAAATCAGTCAATAACGATACCCGGATGACATTACAGTAATGCAATCGACTACCGAATCCGCGACGTCTGTGTTATATTTGTACAGTAATACATATAGAGAGGGAGATAATAAATACATTCTAAAAACATACCATAAAAATAACATCCCCAGCACAATTTATTACTGGGGAAGCGATCTATGAATAAAATAAAGCTTATTGCACGCCAGCTGGAATTTGATTGTTCGGGTCGGTGATTATGATCGCAATTAGTTCTCATCCACAGTTCAGTCTAGTGATGCATCGTCACTGTCATTCACAGTAGTATATACGAGTTAAAATACAATCCAAGTAAGCAAATGCATGCGTGTATACAGTTTCTGCTCTATTTTTTACTCAGATATTTTCTCTCTAAAGCCAAATATCTACTTAATGTTGTGCATATATTTAAATGCTCCAAAATATAAAAAATTACCGCATGTTTTTAATAAAGTGTTTTGGAAGCCAATTCACTATTACAAAGTTAAATTATATTTATCAAATTTGACATAAACCCAGGCCCTCCCATTCGCACAAGAAATGGACTCTTTTAGCACTTGTCATATCCGCAAGGCTCATAGCTTCATACAGGACCGGATAACGAAAAAACAGATCCTTCCTCAAATGAGCGTCTTACGCGAAAAAACAGTGAACACATCGCAGAGTAACCAACCCAACGCGCCAATCAGATATATTGAATACGAAACCAAATCCACGGTAAATTAATGAATTTCATTATGAATCCACAGAAGAAGTTGGAACTACGACTTTAAATGACTGGTAAATTTAAAAAATGAAAAATATTCAGCATTTGTAGCATAAATGGAATATTGAAGTGGCTATCAAATTTAAAATTTATCGGTGCATGAAAACAAATCAATGTTAAAATGAGTGAAAGTGATTCAAATACGAAGAAAAATTAGCCTATTACTTTTACGATGAAATTATTAAATTAGCCTACTGCCAAGAAGTTGCCTATTTGTTTAATTCACGAGCTATTAAGTTATAAGACAAACTGGGTAATAACGGACATCCTGTCATTGCACCAATTACATTTTTAGTCCTTGCGACTTGATATTATTGGCGAAAAATAGCAAATTTACTACTCTTCTTACATTCATACATAATAAAAACACTTCGTTCTCAAATTCTTCGTTTTTATTCATTACACGATAGAAAACATCGACTCTCTTAGCACAAAAACGTTTCTGAGAAATTTCTTGATGATGATAATCTAGATGCCAAGTAAAGGTAGTCTAATGTAATTAACCTGAATAGGTAGTCCAAAGGCTTTTACTGCACTATTCGACATAGAACACCGTCGGCGGTATTTAAAGGATCAAACATAATTAATTCAGCGTTTGAGTCTCCATCTTTGACAGCCCGGTGCCGATACTCTTTTTTGAGACATGATACATAATGTGTTTCCTTCGGTACGTTTTCCCCTCTTAAACGCCGGATTCCATAATTCAAACAGTCTTATGTTCAAATGGTAGTCAGTAATAGGTGGATTGTCACTTTTTCAAAAGAATTCTATCATTCTAAGAAAAAAGTACTGTAACAAAATAAGTATAGAGAACAAGAAGTAGAACAAGAAGGATGCACGGAGCGAAACCATTCAACACAGCCGAATTGCTTAGTCCAGTGGTTCTCAAACTTTATGTCACTGCGGACCCCCTATGTTTTTCTGAAGTAACCGCAGACTCCCATAATTTTCAAATTGGAAACACAATAGAAGAACATAGCATAGACCAGGCGTCGGCAACCTCCGGCCCGCGGAGCAATATAATCCGGCCCGAGACGCTTCACTGAATTATAGTAAAAAATTATAGCTGTTTTGTCGATTATCTTCTTTACGCAAAAGAATTTACGTGTAGACTAAATTATATTATAACGTAACAAGTATATAATTCACAATAACTTGTTTAATGAGCCTATAATCTAATTATAATTTAGACAAAGGGCAACAAAACGCAGAAAAGTTGATGCTAAGTGCAAATGGTTTAATGGCGCAAAAATATTCAAATGGTCAGTCTTCGCGCGCTGCTTAAAATTTAACTTCTGATCTGTGTGATAAAATGTGATTCATCGGTCATCCATTCGATTTTTAACTTTCCAAAAATATGTGCGGCCCGTCAATGACTTGCAACCTTTAATTTTGGCCCGCGAGCGACAAAAGGTTGCCGACCCCTGGCATAGACTATAGAGCAATTTGGACAACATTTACATTAGCTACCACTCCTCCTTATCTTATGTGATCTTGCACATCAAGTTTGTTTCTAGCTCTAGTCTTGTCTTGAACAAGTGTAGAAAACCCATGTCCACATAAGTAATTGGAGATGAAGGGGATGATAATTTTGAATTTAGTGGCGTTATGCTAATAACTACTTGTTTTTGCGCGATATATTCATGAATATGATATCAGACCTGAATTTTTATTTTACCCTCCTTTCAAAACTACAGCGAAAAGTGCAGATGTAATTGAAAAAAGATCAACATTTTTTGATACGAAAGGCCTAAATTGGGATGAGCTTTTGTCGTATTTTCCCTGTTTAGCCATTATGCTGCTAACAGAATGACTGGGAAACTTCACAGTAGCGGTAGTCGGACGAAATCGCTGACGAGGGCGATCACGAAACCACGTCACAGTGCGAATGAAAACGAAATCCATGGAGCACACAGAACTTTTTAAAATAAATGGAACAACAGAAAGTTTTTGCGGGCCTCCTGATATTCCCTCGTGGACCTCAGTTTGAGAACCCCTGGCTTAGCCGCTTGCTAAAAATTTATCATTACAAGAGCAATGGATGTCGAAAAATATATTAGATTTGCGGTGTAACAACGTTTTGCGTTAGGAGTAAGTTTCATCACATTGTTATATAACATGATTGTCCCGAAACTGATAGAAGTTAATTAGAACTTATCGTTGGGAAAGTGAATATGTCAAACCTCCATCCAAATCTGCCCTTTTAGTAACGAAGACTACATCTATGTATTGTACCGTGTCTGTCGTTATTACTCCATAGTTATACATAGTACCTCGATTATGTTTGAGAAAAGATCCAAGATTCGAGTTACAATTTGCTGTCGACTTGATATGTGAACATGATTGGGTAGTCCCGAAGTATGTGAACCAAGATGGCAGACACCGGAACGTAGTATGTGTACCAGGTTAAGGTGAGGCCATAATTTTATTGCAATTTTTCTGATTTCAGTTCTATTACGAGTTCGGGGACTAGCCAAGTGACTTCCGTACACATACTACGGTGTCCGCCATCTTGGTTCACATACTTCGGGGGTCCCCATGATTGAGGGGCGTTTGGAAATGATATAACGAGAAAAATCTATTTCAAGTAAAAACTACACACACCCTGGTTGTTTTCATTCCCGTCCAAATTCTAAGGGATGAGGAACCATCCGGTATTATAGCAGAAATTTGAGACTGCAGTAACTGGTCCTGCTCGGCGTTGCAAATGTTTCCTATTTCCATTCCACGTCCTTTGCAGACATTTTCTGCTTCGTAATAGTTTATGTTTTCATCCGTTTTCAGAATTTGATTTGTTTCACGGTTGCCACAGAACGCTGGAAAGAAATTGTTTTACTTAATTTGAATATTTATGATGAAAATTTACTCTTCGTATTATCTTTGTTTGATAAACGGTTAAATGTATGAATCGGAACAAATTCACCTGGCTCAATTTTTCCCAATAGGCCATTGGCTGCTAATCTCACACAAAAAAAACTGACTTGGATCATTTTGAGGGTACTCCCGTGGTATGTGTACCAGGTTAGGGTTAGACCATAATTTTATTCCTATTTTCCTTATTTAAGTTCTCATTTTGAGTGCTTCTATTATCATCCAGAATTGTATGGACATCCTATTCTATGGCGCTTTCGAAGCAAAATAATTTGTTATGAATGTATATTGCTTGGCGATTATACCGCAAATAAGAATTTCTTCGAGTGAAATATATTTTCGAATAAATTGTGTTTTTCAATCACTCAATTATATTTTTAAAAACTAAGACGATGCTCTTTTATTTCGAATGGGCTTCACTGTCAAAAGATCAATACTCAAGTACACGAAATTGTAAGGCGACTGACATATTAGCAAAACCCTGCTGCAAAAATACACGATGTCATAGCAACTTGCTCTCCGTATTTGTAAAACGCTAAAAAAACTTGTGGACAGGCAATGTCGGGTCGGAAAATTTCCAGTCCTTCCAATTATAACGTTAGTTCAATATATATTGCGTAGAACCTTGAACAAAGCTGGAGGCGCAGGTAAACGTCATATAAAAGAAGACTGATAGGATTAAACTTACTGTCAAATAAACTTCCTTTGCAAACTCCTCCAAAAATGCAGATGAAAGCAACTATTACGGAATATCTAAACATTTTTAACTTTGAACAAGTGGATTTACAAACTGGGAGGATTTCAAGTCAAACCAATGCACTTGCTATAATTGAACAATGCCTAGTTTCTAAATATATACATTGCTTCATACTTTTTTCTAAAAGTAGTACCCAATGTTTCTGAGAAAAATTTGTACTGTGCTAATTAAACCTTAAATAATAATACACCAAGTAAAATACACACTCAATATTGCAATTCGGATTTATATTTCCTGCTATTGACAGGTTAAAGGAATTTTTGTCACGACACAATGCTACGTTGAAGATGCAACAGTACGAGTACTTGAAAGGCAAAAAATGAAGTAGGAATTATTAGAAGCTGATTCTCCTTTTCCCATATCACTTCTAAATGAAGTGTATAATAACATAATATATTTGCGTAATGTCGGTCGATCACTATGGTTTTAATAAACAGGCACACTTAAAAACATTTCACATGAGGAAAAATTATCAAATAATGTGCCGGTCAAAAAATAATAACATATATTTGCATAATAAAATGCAGTGCTGGGCACCATTATGCGTAAAAAAGGCACACATCTCACATAAAAAACATGTACATGCCAAATCATGTACAAACACAATTAACTCCAACTTTAGTGAGAATTTTGCTACTGTTTCGTTTCCAATTCAGGATTGCAAACGAGGCATTAAAAAAGGAGTTTTGCAACACGTAGCTCTACAGCGACTCACAGCCAATTTATTTACAGGCCTTGAACATGTATCCCGTCTCTTTTATACCGTTTAACTATTATGCAGATACTGTTACATTTTTGAGGCAAATAAACATACATACATACATTTGCTTCGTTTTGAAGATAGAACTAACTGGATGAAAATTCGGACAACAGTTTGAGAGCTCAGGAATGAAGTATGACAATGATTATTATATAAATCTGGACTGTAAAGTATAGGTTTCATCATATCAATCCCTCTTCAGTTGATCGGCGCACCAGAAAAAATGATTTTTTATTACAATGATAAAGTCGTTGCTAACTTGGCACCAGGCTCAAAATCCTGCTGTGCATCACCCAGAAAAGATCTCACCGGCTCATGCTTTTGTTGCGCGTCTCGTGACCACATGCAGGGTCGCAGCAAGTTGATATCTCACTGGGTGTCAAGGTGGAGCTCTGGAATAATCAGTAATTTATTTTTCCACCAAACAGAAAAAAACACTTTATGCAAATAAATATAATAAAGGAATTTAAATACGGCCTTCCAGGGCGAATGGAATCGCGAGAAACTAAAACTGGTTAACGAGCAGCGACATATTATACTGTTCTTGAGAGTTTTCTGGTTTAAACAGAGAAATATTCATAACCTTTTACTTGTATGATAATATTAATCAAGACAAGCATGCAGAACGGAAAAAGCACGCATTCTGATTTTCAGGTTTCTGAATCTTGCGAGATTTGGCGAAGCGCTTTCACGATGAATCGGAACCAAAAAAGCGAAAAGTTTGATTACTCGGTGCTAAAATGTCGCCGGGCCATTATTACCGCGCCTATCAAACAGCAATATCAAACGGATCGCAAAAAGCACGCATGCTGATTTTCAAGTTTCTGAATTTTGCAAGATTTGACGGAGCGCTTTTGCGATGAATCGGAACCGTAAAAGCGAAAAGTGTAAATTTTTTTTTTTTTTTTATTTTTTTTTTACG